TTACCTAAATCTCACTATAATGTAAACTCTAAAAAAAATTGTATCTGGTGTTAAGATCTGTTAGTTGGTGCAGATGAGTATGATAAAGGTCTGCCTGCTGATAACAAAATGTCAAAAACTAAATGTCCTTCAACCATCAAACCAACCTTAATTTTTATTTTCTTTTTACTTCTTACTGAAAAAATGCAAGATTGTAGTTTCTGATTCCTTATGTCATTGCCTTGGTGTTTGAGGGACTTCCCCTGCTGCACATGGAACTGGCCATTGGACAGTGGCTACGCATCGGAAGCGTTGGAGTGTGGAGTGTTCAATCTCCCCATATCCGGGAGGTGTAGGTGAGAACGTCTGGTTTGCGAAAAGGTCGTATACCAGATGTTCGAAAAATGCGAAAAATTAGCAAACTTGTGTCATACTTAACACCGCTCTATAATTTATGTTAATTAGGTGGAATTTTTAAAAACAGGCGTGGCTTCGATGCTGGTGTCCTTCCTGGTTGGACTGTTCTACAACATGATCTTGGCCTGGATCCTGTGATACTTCTTCCATTCCTTTCAGAGTCCACTTCCCTGGAGGGACTGCCCAGTAAACCTGAATCATACTGGTAATATTGACGTCACGATATTATAGATTAATATGTGCCAAAATTAACTAAAGGCCCACAGATTACTTATGATATCTCTAATTTCTAAAGCCTGAACATAACACCAAACATTGAGACCAGTGGGTCCTTACAGTAGTAGCTGGTATTGTGTCTTGCATCTGCTTGGTGCATCGTGTACATCTGCTTCATAAGAGGAATTGAGACCATTAGGTCTCCAATGTTGATATATTAAGCTTTTTGCTCCATTTATTGCACCCGCATGGTAGATAAATAAGGTTTGATAAAGGTTTTTCCATCTTGAAAAAATAGTTGCATGAGGGAATAGCATACTTTTGCCCTGCATATGTTGGCCATTTGTCGAAACATATATCAACACAAATTGTTAACCAAATGGAATGTGACTGTTTGGTGATTTGGCAGACAGTCTAGAGGCTCACGTTTATGTTTCTTGATTAACATTAGTGATTGCCTTCAATAGCCACTACATTGTTTTTCTTGGTCGTCATGCATATTCACTGTACTGCAGTTTGTGGCATATGTGCAGCATGTTACTTTCACTTCATCATGCATTCGAAATATTTTTCGATCAAACTTCCGTAAATTGGAATAAAGGTCAAAATTCAACTTCTACTGGCTGCATTAAAGGCAGTAACTGTGATGGATAAGCAGAAGACTAAACATTTATTTTTCTTTATTACCTATAAAAGTAACAATACCTAAAAGTGTTACAAGCTGTAAAAATCTCTTTTGATGATACACTGATGAAAAGAGTTCATCCAAACTTTTCCCCAACAGGCTATTTATGCCACAGCCACTTTTCCATATCTTGTTTTGACCATCTTCTTGATCAGAGCCTTGACTCTCCCTGGAACAAGTGATGACTTGATATATCTTTTCACTCCAAATGTAAGTCTATTACTTTTTTTCCCCTTACCAACATAATTTCATGTGATAAATCTGATATCTAACTAATGTTTATCACAGTGGGAACCCTTGAAAAATCCTAAGGTTTGGCTGGATGCTGCCACCCAGATCTTCTTCTCCTTGTCTTTGGCTTTTGGGGGACTTATTGCTTTTTCCAGTTATAATCCTCAGAAGTAAGAAAAGCCAAAAGAAAATGTTTTTTTAAAAGCCATACATTATGCTGATCAATACATTGTTTTGTTTTATTTTTGCAGGAATAACTGTGAGAGAGATGCCCTTATTGTTGGATGTGTGAACAGTTTTACATCAATATATGCGTCAGTTCCTATCTTTGCCATTCTTAGCTTTAAGGCAAATTAAAACAACAACAACTACCAAAACTGGTAAGTTAAATAAAAAAAATGATGTGAAACTTAAGCTTTAACATTACATAGATACAATATTAAAGCAAACATTTCTCATTTAATATTAATGCTTTTAATACTAATAGTGTTTTTGTTTGTTTGTTTGTTTTTTGCTGATATCAGGAACATATTAACCCTGACAAATGCATTTAACATCGGGGTTGGCAACATAACTCTTGAAAACTATGGCGAGTGGTTAAACTATCTCAATAAGACGATCCCTTGGAAGTTAAAAGTCTCAATCTCAAAGCTTGCAATCTACAGACCTTCCTCGAAGAGGTGTAGTACATCTACTCATATTAAAAATAATTAGCATTTATGTATTTGTGATCATATATCATTTCCCACTCTTAGAGCGCTTCAGGAACTGGACTGGCATTTATTTTGTTTACTGAGGCAGTGATTGAAATGTCAGCCTCGCAGGTGTGGGTCCTCTTTTTTGTTATGCTCTTCTGTCTTGGCCTGTCCTCCATGTTTGGAAATCTAGAGGGCGTCCTTACTCCTCTGCTGGATTTACACATAGTTCCACCTGGATTCCTAAGGAAGCTTTCACAGGTATACCAAAAAGACTGAACAGCTTAATGTTGCATTTTCACTGACGGCACTAAGAAAACTGGTTTGTATTGTGTTATATTATTAAAACAAAAATAAAGATGATAAAGTTAGGTGCAAGATATCTATTACTCTCTACATAGAATTGTGACTATGACTAAATCCCACCTGGTATTTCAAAACACATGCATTACTTTTGCAAGAAACCTTTATGTTCTCTCTGAAGGTGTTTATATTAGTGATTTTAGTTTATAGTCACATGTCTTATGATGTCTGATATTTTGCTTACAGGGTTAATCTGTCTCATCTCCTTTGCTGTGGCCCTAATCTTCACTTTGGGCTCTGGAAACTACTGGCTGGAAATTTTTAACAGTTATGTAGGATCCGTGCCACTACTCAACATAGCTTTCTTTGAGATCATCGCTGTGGCTTTCATCTTTGGAATAAACAGGTGATATTATCATTGTCAATGTATGTCATGATTATGCTTATGTTAAACAGTGTTTTTAAAAGGACAAATGTTACAAATGTTTCCATTTGTCCACAGGTTTAATGACGACATTGAATGGATGACAGGGCGGAGACCTAACATTTACTGGCAGGCAATGTGGCGCTTTATCAGCCCGTTCATGCTTCTGGTGGTTTTTGTGGCTTATGTTGTGATCGAGGCTGAGAAACAACCAACATACAATGCATGGAACCCAGATTAATGTACCATTATGACACTTCATTAAATTTGGAACAAAGACTGACTTTGCACTGCATCAACCCCGCAGGTTCACTTCCCCCTTGCTGATGTCCTGCACTATCCTGAATGGGTTTTTGTTATCTGTGTGCTCTTATCGATCCTTCCTGTAGTCTCCATTCCCCTTGTGGCTTTCTATAAATTCATGTGCTTCCTGAAGAATTACACCATGAACAGACAATCAAAATCCATATGCAAATGAGTATTACCATGGGGAATTGTAAATAGATATCTTGACCTATGTTATTTGATTGGTGGTCAGGATTACAAGTAACCCCTGCCACTCATTTTTAACTTTGTTCTCTGTATGTTCATTTGAAAAACAAAAAGGCAAGCAAAATGATTCCACTTCTTATTTTTACATTTTCCCATCTTTTTTAAGGTATGGTTTTGCATGCTTATTACACCTTATAATATCCTTAACATATTGAAAATCATATTGTTTTTTAACCTAAATGCATCATTTGTATCAGAGACAGAGATGCAGCCTGATCAATTCAATGCATGACAATATCTCTGTGAATACAGATCACCAAGGGCTGGAACTGACTCTCATGTTTGTGTTATTATTCAATTAAAGGAAGATGACAGTTAATTTCCTGTGCTGATGTTTGGATAGGAACGAACGGAGCATGATGGATACTGTAACATGTGTAGTTTGTGATCAGCACATATATTAATAAAATAAACAATTTTCAGTTAAAATGTACATAAGCACATGAGCTGATTTTGTGATTTCATTCATGTTTGCCCAACCCAACTTTTGCTACATGATAATCTTCTTTCTACTCTTGGTTACATGCACAAGAGTGATGTAGTGTTGCATGATGTGTCCTTTAGGTATGCTGCATGTCAACAGTGCATGTGACTGTATGAGAGTAGCGGTACATGCATGTGCTCACTAGTCATGTTCATGTGTGCGTGCGTGTGTGTGTTTTGAGTTACACGCAGTTACCTTTTTGTGGCGTGGGTGGACGGTGATATTGTCCCTCCAGCGTCATGTGCTTTGGAATATGCTGGCTGCCTTTGTTGCCTCCCTGCCTGTTCTGCTTTTCTGGCACTTTCATACAATGGTGCACTTGAACACCCTGATGTTATTAAGCCTTTCAAACTACTACAGTTTGAATTCCAGCTCTCAGGAAAGACTAGCATCCCAATGTAGGATACATGGCACAAGATTCATCGTCGAGGAACAACAGCAAGGATTGACTGCAACGAGAAAACAAAAGGTAACAACTGAGCCTCCATTAACTTTGATTATTGCTGCTTTATGTCTGTATGGATAGAGCTATGCAAGGTAACATAATAATTCTATTTTAATTTTAATTATTGCCATATACAATTACTTACTTTCTTCTCTGCTTCACAATCTGGCACTACCAATGTTGGTCATTATTTATGGCTCTTTTAGTTTTGGGGGGAAAAAAAGAAACCTGATGTGACTGACTACAGAAGTTTACTGAGTTCAAAAGGACGTGCCGTTTCAACTGCTGTTGAAGTAAGTTCAAGGTAAGAAAAAAATGCAGTGTTTGACCAGCTGCTTACAAATTGTCACATATTCATTTCTGTGCTGTTCTAGAGTTGTCACTAAGTAAATAAACAGTAATCGTCCAAGCGAGGATTTTGTAGTCGTCAAGAGGAAAGCAACCTTTTAGGATAAACAAATCAGCTGTATTTGTGATCATCTAAATATTACTGTTATCATGTATATGACACACTGTGCTATCAGCAACATCAGAATGGTGTGACAAGTTCGATAACACTTCACTAGGACATGTCGCAGCGGGAAGATGCCTCCCAGTGTGGTGGGGTTGTGGTTGAGTTCGAGTCTGACAACATCCGGGATGCAAAAGCTGAAAAAGCTACGCGTATACCAGGTGAACTCGAATTAAAATCCAATTAGAATTTGTGCAGTGTCTTTGTAGCCAATGGAATATCTGCTTATTTGATTTGATGCATTTCCTTTTAAGGTTCAGCTCTTATCTACCTCAGGGGTCCCAAGTTTCTCATCTATGTCAGTGGAGCATTATCAATGTGGGTAAGAATCATTTCCTGAAGAAACATTCGTGGGGCAATAGGTAAGACTTCGCAACTTAAAGGACTGCAAGGTAGTCTCTTTACACTGTGTCACAGCACACTGACGAAAATATTGCAACACAACACACGATGATGACTTTTCTCATGTGTTAAACAGGGCGACCGCATGTGGCACTTCGCAATCTCTGTGTTCCTGATTGAACTGTACGGACGTAACTTGCTGTTGACTGCGGTGTTTGGATTGGTGGTGGCTGGGTCAGTTCTCATGTTTGGGGCTTTGATTGGAGACTGGGTTGATCGCAATCCTAGGAATAAAGGTATGCACAGCAATCTCATACCCATATGAAAATTCTAACATGTAATACAGCGAGGTACAGTGATAAGAGCTCAGTGGATTTCAATCTTGGGCCAGGAAATTTGCTGGTTTCCTATCCCACTAGGAGGTGAATTGCTATTCGCCAGATGTCTCAAGTGTAAACCTCCTGGCACAAGGTTCATAGCCACTGACTCGTATCTGTTGTGACTAGCATTCGTTTTTTACAACCCCCATAAAAAAAAAATGCATATTTGAAATTCGTTTTTTCCATCTTCTATTTTAGTTGCACATGCATCTCTTTTCGTTCAGAACATCTCGGTGACAATATGTAGCATTGTGCTCATGTTGGTGTTCTCATACAAGCAAAGGATTGAACAGATCTGGGATGGATGGCTTACTGTGAGTAGACACTACATACTTGCTACAACACAATCGCTGTGTTTCGGTTATATATACTTGATATGAGTACTACACAGAGAAGTCATTGCTGTTGTTGTCCCCTCTGTCTCGTGTCCCTGTTGTCTCTGCCTCTGAGCTTGTGGCTACTCTGTGCTGTCATAGTAACATGTTGCATCGCAAAACTCACACAAGGTGGTTTGTTATACGGTGGTGATCGTCCTGGCAGATGTGGCAAACCTTGCAAGCACAGCACTGACCATTGCCATTCAGAGGGACTGGATTGTGGTCATCACAGGCTACAACCGAGGTCACCTAGCGGGTGAGGACATTCAGTCTGTTAATGAATATTCTGGTTTGTATTTGAGGCTTGTCTGTGGAAGATAGATCCTCGAACTATAGAAAAGATCAGATATTGACTGGCTACTGCTTAGCTTCCGATGCTGGACACACATTAACCTCTGTGTTTGTTCCTAACAAAAGGAATGAATGCAACCATGAGGCGGATAGATCAGGTGACTAACATCCTGGCTCCACTAGCAGTGGGACAGGTCATGACCCTTGCCTCCAACGTAGTTGGCTGTGGATTCATCCTGGGCTGGAACCTGGTGTCTCTAATTGTGGAGTTCTTCTTCTTGTCACGGGTTTATCGCATCGTCCCTGCTCTGTCAGCCAAACCACCATCGGTTGCAGTGGATCAAGCATATCTCCAGAGGATAGAGAGGAAAAGGTTACAAGGTATGAACTGTTCATTGGATCTTTTTCATAGATCAAAAAGGGAATCCAATCTAGCAGTGCCTTAAACCTGTATTCTTTCTAATAGAAGAAAAACTACTTTTGCAAAAGATTTGGGGTGTCTGAAAACAGCCCTTACATCCCCATTAGTGTCAAAAGGGAGGATAAAGTGAATTTCTCTAGTGTGGGATTTAAAAAAGTGTTTAGGTGCTTTAGGGCAGGCTTACACTGTGAATGAGAAGTCAGTACTACAGTGGGCCTCCGTTTCTCAGTTACTTATGTTTGTTTTCAAAATATCAAGATGAGGAATCATATCTTCATGGGAGCCGCCTCTTTCCGAAAAAAAAAAAAAAGATCCAGCACCAAAGCTTTTTGACATACATTATCTTAAAACACAGTTTTGAGTTTGTGTACAGCATCCAAATGCAAGGGTCCACATGGTATAGATTTCTGTTTGTACTCACACACATTAGCGTAGATGAACTGCGTTTGACAAATGATGTAGAGGCTAACGTGACGTGGCATAGAGGGGGTGCAGAAAAGCTAGTGAGGATTAGGCCTTTAGAATTAATGAACTCAAGTGATGGATGCCATTCTTGTTTTTCATTAGGAGAAGGCAATGTTGCGCGACCTCAGGCTCTGACAGAGGGCAACTGCAATTCAAGCTTGCACCTCAAGGAAATCACCGATCTGCCGCTGTGTTTTCGGAGGTTCCGCTGGCTGGTGAGCACCTGTAAGGATGGCTGGATGGCCTACTATCGTCAGCCTGTTTTCCTCGCGGGAATGGGTCTGGCTTTCCTTTACACCACAGTGCTTGGGTTTGACTGCATCACCACTGGCTATGCCTATACTCAGGGGATAAGCGGATCTCTTCTTAGTCTGCTGATGGGCGTGTCAGCCATCACAGGCTTGATGGGCACAATAATGTTCACCAGGCTCAGGAAGGCCTATGGCCTGGTCAACACAGGCATCATCTCAAGCTGCCTCCACCTGGGCTGCTTGCTGCTGTGCGTGTGCTCTGTGTTTGCCCCTGGCAGCCCCATGGATCTCAGCTTGCTGATGCCCGACATTAGTTCCAATTCCTCTACAGCGCTTGGTGGAATGACAGGCCAAAGGCAAAAACACACATACCCTATGATGGGAGGCAGCAATCAGCCACTTCTGCCCGACCGCTCTTCTATCCACTGGACCAACAACACGGTGCTTTTTGACAATGTTCCCTCCGGCACAGCTCCAGAATCTTACATCTCCATTATTCTGCTGTTCTTGGGTGTCATTACAGCGCGCATTGGTGAGTAGACACAAATTCAGAGCTTATTCAGTGCATAGAAAAACTTATGTACAAGTGATATTGCCATTTTTAATGCCCATCTCATGTGGGCACACGGCAGATATTCCAGTAATAATTTATTTTGAATATACTGATATATAGTGATACTTATCTTTTTGAGGCAATTTAACAAAAAATAAAAATTACCTAGTCAGTCCACCAGAGAGCACTATTGTAAACTCTAAAATGTATTTCTCATTACATACAAGGTTTTTGGATATTTATTTCTATTGATGCATAGAGTTTAAATATTGGTGTAGAATATGAAATATATGTCAAAAAATACATAAATCTGCCCAAAATGTGACTTTTCTGGGTAATTTTGTTATACAAGTACAAATTTTAATCTGGTCAAATGAAATTTACTTGCAGCTGAATCAGTGCCCATCTGTTATAAAGGTCAGTTCATCTATTACTGTGTTTCAGGTCTCTGGTCCTTTGACCTGACTGTGACTCAGCTTCTGCAGGAGAACATCTGTGAATCAGAGAGAGGAGTGGTTAACGGGGTGCAGAGCTCCATGAATTACCTGATGGACCTGCTTCACTTCATTATGGTGATCTCTGCTCCGCAGCCACAACACTTTGGCATCCTAGTTATAATTTCTGTGTTCTTCATCACCACGGGGCACACTATGTACTTCCTGTATGCACATAAAGCCAAGAGAAAACGCCGCCGCGACACATAAGGAGCAGCTTACACATCCAGGCATGAGATGCTCACTAGCACTGAATCCACTCTGCACCAGTGAAATGAATGTCTCCCTCCTGATCCTTCAGCAAACTAATTGCAACACTCCAACTGTTTCTAACTCAGCCATTCATTTCAGCACAACACAGCAAGTGCCAATCCCACCTCAGCTGCTTTCACACTGCAGGGCCATGTGCCATGGCAGCAAACGAAAACTCAGGTGAAGTAGAGTGGGAGACAAGCTCTCGCTTTATGTACATAAGTCGAAGTGGCTACCATAAATGCTGCCTCCAGGGGAAATGTCCTAAGAGGACACAAAGGTTATGACTTAAGGCACCAACAAATGTTTTTGCCAACTGTGCAGAATACTCGTATACCGCAAGACTTTCAAACAAGACGGTTAACTTCATAGCTTTTTTGGATGGGAAGGTGAAGGGACAGAGAGATGAATCTAACCATCACCTCAGTACAGATCTGCTGCTGTGAAAAAATCCTGAACGTGACACATGAAAATAAAGACAAGACAAAGCTGTACATTTTCAAGTGGCATTGATGTTACTGATCCGTCCACTTGGAAATATTCCAGGATGTCCAAAAAGGAAGATAAAGGGAACTTGATGTGAGATTGTTTCAAAGATTGTTTAAATTAAAAGGAAAGAAAAAAAAAACCCTGACAGGCAACACCCCCCCCCCCCCCGCCCTTTTTATTGGACAAAGGTGAAAGGACAAGTGTTTCTTCCCCTGGTTTGTTTCTCTGTGGATGAATCAAGCAAACATTTGCCTTTCTTTCATGCATGAAATCCTGGATTATGAATTACAACACAAACACACACAAAATATTTTATTCTAATTGCTTGTGTATTTAGAAAAATTTACATAAAAACATACTTTCTTGTCATCTCATATAAAGAGTGATATTAATAGTTTTATAGAAATCCAAAACCACCCATCTTCATTTTGGGACATGTTTGAAATCAGTGATAACTACATGTTGATAACTGCCATTAGGAATATTGTTTGACAGTTTGCTTCATTCTTTTGTAGTTCTGAAGAACTAAACATTTCCTTACCTCAGCTAAGAGCAAGACCACTGAATCCAACATGGGGATTACCCTCAGCTACTGCGTATTTTCATATCTCATTCATGTGCAGTGGAGACAATATCAAAGTTGAATCTTTTGTCATAAAACATGCATCACATCTCAATATTTTTGTAACATTTTCTTGTGACATTTCTGTATTGTACATTGTCATTTTTAAGACTATTTATGACAATAAAGATGACTGACGAAGATCTTTGGGCTCAGGGAAAATAAATACATGTTAAAAAAATTGCAGAATTGTGCCAAAATGTCATCTAAATACATTGATTACAAACATAGTACATGACCTTTCATAAAATAAGAAACACAATTAGAAAACAGCAGCAAACATCAGTTTTAATGCTCAGCCAGAACATTAAAACACTAAAAATGTGTAATTTGTAGTCTTATTTTATCTCATTTATCTTATTTCATCTTATTTTTAAATTTTAATGAAAGAGGTTATAAATATTTGTGGATTAACCATCACAGAAACACACAAAAAATATTTTGATAACTAACAATACTGATCATTTTGGGCAGCTGCATGACTCTTACATTGAGTGGTGGTTTAATACATTTGTTGAGCACTGTTTATTGTGAAATGTAGTTGCTAGAAGATTAACAATATTATTAATTAGCATAAACTTGTACATTAACGGCACTTGAAGTTTCTCAGTCACACATTAAGCACTGTCCTAGACTAAATGAAACATTTAATGAATGAATCCCCTTAAAAAGTATTTAGTGAGGGATTAGGCATAATCAATATCTGGGAAAATAAGCTACTGTTACGAAGCCACATGCAAATGTAATAGCTTTTGGTCATCAGAAGAGGTCAATGTTCCATTAAGTGCTCATCATCATGCCAATGTTGTTTCAAAAATGATTGCCTGTAATCTGTGGAGCATATGTCAAACCAATCTCAAATGATTGATATCAAGTCATCCACAGACAAGATTCCTGACACAAAGTAGAAGCTGCATGATTTTTATATCCAACTAAAAAGTGTCACAAAATACACATTTTACAGTTGTACTTTTAAGATTTTTGGTACACAAGTATGCACAGAAAGCTAATGAATAACTGCTATCTGCAGAATTCCCACTATGTAAATAAAAGGCATTTACAATAAATGAATCACTGCTCCCGAAGAGTGTCATCAAAATAGAATGTTTACATTTATATGTGTAACTTTTGCAACCATTTAAATTAAGGTTGTACTGTTTCTATCACCATCGCCGACAGTGTATGAATCAGAGATTGCAGTGATAAACCTTGGTAATGTACAGAACCTATGAAAAGGCTTCCTAAGACAACTAGCCAGGAAGAGCTCCAGTCTGGTCCAGTCTGACCTTTGCTATATTTCTTATCTGTATAAAGCAAGACTGGAGTAGACTTTTGACATATATCTACCCTATACATACAATGTATCTCTGCAGATTAAGCTTGAGGATTAATGAGTACAGATTAGTCATTCATTTATGCCTGTTATACCAAGTAGCACTATCAAGCTAGCATGCCATGTGGTGTGGTCTTACCTACAGTATGAGTGGCTAATGCTAGCTGTTAAAACTACAGCTAATAAGGTTTCCTTTGTCTTCTGGTGGCAAATTAGAGACACTGCCTGGCTGCTTAACCATTTAGGGGAAAGACCCATGTCTCCTCTTCCTTATATATATAATGGCCAAAAACAAAAACACACCTGCTAAATAAACCGACAGACTAATAAAACGCTAACATTTCACTCACCAAAACTGAAACAGAAACTTCTTAGATGAGCTATGCCTTACTGCAACTCTCCTCTATAAGACAGTTCAATTAAAAATGCTCCAAAAAGCACCAGCAGGACAAAAAGTGAAGCGTTCCAGTTTGGACACTCCACATAGCAGAGGTGAGGTCTAGCAGACTATGGAGACAATTGAGTCCCCCACATTTTGTGTCCAAATAAATTGGATTAACCCCTTAGCAGTCCTACAAATTTACAATTAGTCCCCTAAACCATCCAATGTACCGTGGGCGGTACGTCCGACTGCTAACAGGTTAAAATAAGTAAATAATCATCTCCTTCAGAGTTGTTATGAACAGGGAAACTACTAATAAAGCCCCATAAGAGATGGCCTTTTGTCCCGTTTGTGTCTTTCAGAGCAATTTTATAATAAATATAAAATTGGTAAGATCAAAAATGTCTATGACGAAAAATGGATTATACAAATGAACTGCAACACCAGGGTTTTGCATTAGAGGACAAAGCTGAGATTATATCAGCTAAGGCCAATGACCTAATTTAGGGCTGGGCAAATAAACACATGATAGACACAAAAATGGACCTTTGCTAGAATTTTCTGAAGAGCTCTTACATTACACTACATTATTTTTAAACTCCCAAACTCAGATATAATATTTTAATTGGAGATGAATGGTTTTCACTCCAGATTGTGATAAAGAGCTCAAAGAAGACAGGAAAGAGTTGATAAACAGCAGAGGATCTATGCTATTTGTCATAATTTACCTATTTGTCTAATGTGCAATTTTAATGTGCTTGTAAAAAAACTGCTACTAAATATTTAATATATGTGGCAGACTGTGGCTTGACTTTTGACCTTTTGTGAGTGGCTATTGTTTTGGAAATCTCTGTAATGAACCCAAAAGAGTTTCGTCATTTTCTTTAGTCTGTTGCAGCGCTGCGTGCCTGCAGTAGAGTTCCTCCCATGGTTGTCATGGCAGTCCCTGGTTAAAGACACTAGTAGCACACAGAGCTGCCTTACAATTTAGGCTTTAGGCATCTTCACTTTGCAATTCGTTTACTTGAAAAACTGGGTCAGTGGTAGCACATTAAAACTAGGTTTGTGCCCCTGGCTTTGTCCCGATGTAACACGTTCACTTTCTTCCTACAGTGGTATCACAAAAGCAAATGCGCAAAGACAGCCACATACAGTAATGTAATTAAGTCTCGTACAAACCAAGGATGTGGTCATATTAGTTCATTTACTTAGTATTTGGTAATTTTTTTCTTTTCATTTAAAAAAGATTTTAAGAGGACTTAAAGGAAGAGTTACCTATTGTAATAAGTCTAATATGTACTCTGCAGGAGGAGTGCAATTGGTGTCGTGCCAATCACTTACATTAAAAGAACGAAAAGGCCGCAGTGGAACGATAGGACTCGTCCTCACATGAAAGAGAAACACCACTTAGAGATGGGGACCTTTTCTCATTCTGCAGTTTGCTGTATCAGCAGTTTGGGATGGCAGCACAGCTGAATGGCTTTGCAAGGACCCAGTCAAGCATCACACCGCTGACAGAGGGGAAAAAAGATATAATGATAATAGATAAAATGTTGCCCATACTGAGATTTAATGTCCTTGTTTTTCTTTGATCAATACATGTCGGGTCACACTGATCCCTCTGCAAGTTCACTAAGCACACTGACAGCAATTGCAGTTGGACATCTTAGTTGGACAACTTAGAGCTCTGTAGTAAAAATGGATACTTTATGGTTGCAGCAATCTGCAGGGTGATTAAAAGGCTTTTTTTCTTTGTTTGTTTTCTCTTTTTTTTTTCATTATCGTCCTATTAGAGAAATGTACAGTTTCAAATGAAGTGTCCCAAACAAACAGTTGATTAATCAGCTTCACTGGCCATAAATGAATAAATCAAAAATGTAATTATTCCCACAAAAGCTTCAAACATGCCTGGGTTTCAGATCCTCTGTATAGGTCTACTGATATTTTACACACCAACGATTGACGGAGAAATTCAATAAATCATTTGGAGATTAATTAGAGACTCAAAGATGTTACAGAATACCGAATGTTAAATGAAGCCGTTTGTAAGTTCCCAGCATAAGTTGATCTCTTGTCTGATGAACTCCCCGAGATCCAGCCTCAATTTGCAATATATCACATAAAAAACTGGA